CAAGGCTCAAAGGAGCCTAAGAAAAGATGCTAATGGAATGAGTCGTTACAAGAAGTGCCTGTCAAAATTGTAAAAGATGGACACAAGATAATGCTCCGTTCGGGATGTTCTCAATACCCTTACATCCTTAAAGTCCTGGTCCCTAACAGTCAATGGCTGCAGACAACAGCTGCAAATACTGCCTGGAAGAAGGTGGTTAAAGAGATCTGAGTTGACGCTTCAGAGATGTGATTCTGATGCACGTCCGAGCTGACAAGTTGATGAATGATAAGTCAGGGATCCTGTGCACTCCATAAGCAGCAAGACCTTTCTGTCCTGGCACATTTTGTCAGGGAGGAATCTTGGACCGTATTCAATTTTGGGAGTTGGACAGGCAATTTCAGCACAGGGCTCTGAAAAGCGAACGACAGCCCTTCCCCTCAGGAAAGAAAGCCCTTACCCTTGGCCTCTCATGTACAGGTGGTGGGCCACTCTTGGCACTTGTCATACGTTTTCTTGTGTCAAAGAAAAAATGCCCCTGCTTTGAGTTTTTTCTATTTGCCTTTGGGAACCAAAAGGTTTGAGCAAGGGAGGGGAAAGGATGGACTGAGCAAAGCCACATACTCACAAGAGGCTGGTTAAGAGGTTGCACATTCCAGACTAATTGCTTTGGAAATCTGTGGAGGACACGGGTTTGTTTTTCTCTGGGAGGGCACAGGACTTTTGTGTGGACTCAGTGAAGGCTGTGTGAAGACAAAGAGCTCCAGGGTTCATTTTGTTTTTGACCAAGTCATTTAACTGCCTTTGGCCCTGGCTCACCTCCATTCCCTCACACCCGTTTCTGCCCAAGAAGCGAGAGCTTTCTATCCTGACACCTTCTTCCTGGCAGGAATCTTTGTCCATATTCAATTTTGGGAGTTGGAGTAGCAATGCAAGTGCAGGCTTTCAAAAAGTGAACAACAACCCTTTCCTCCAGGAAAGGAAGCCTGTGGAAAGAAACCCCTTGGATGTTAGGGGCAATTGATGGGCCATCCTGGGCACTCCATGGGCATCGAGAGCTTTCTGTGTGTGCACCTTTTGTCTGGGATGAATCTTTATCCATATTGAATTTTAGGAGTTGGACTGGCAAATTCAGCCCAGGGCTCCTAAAAGTGAACAACACCCGTTTCCCCCACAAAAGAAAGACTGTAACCTTTGGGTGATAGGTGCACTTCGTTGGCCACCCTGGGCACTCCATGAGCAGAAAGCCCTTTCTGTCCTCGCACCTTTGGTCTGGGAGGAATCTTTGTGTTGAATGTTGGGAGTCAGAGAGCCAATTTCAGTGCAGGGAACCTGAAAGTGAACAACAGCTCGTAACCCAGGAAAGAAAGCCCATAACCATTGGGTGATAGGACCAGTTGGTGGGACACCCTGGGCACTCCATGGGGAGCGAGAGCTTTCTCTCATGGCACTTCTCCTCTGGGAGAAATCTTTGTCTGTATTGAATTTTGGGAGTCAGACTGGCACTTTCAGCACAGGCCTCCAAAGAGTGAATGACAGACCTTTCCCCCAGAAAAGAAAGTCTGGGTTTCAGGGTTTCAGGTGCACTTGGTGGGCCACCCTAGGGACTCCATGTGCAGGGAGAGCTTTCTCTTGTGGCACCTTTGGTCTGGGAGGAATCTCCATCTGTATGTGTAATAAATTAGTAGTAGTAGTTTAATTTACTCATCAAATTAGTAGTAGTAGTTTACTCATTAAATTGTATTGCATGTTATATTCTTATATACATATATATATTATTATAATCAATGTTCTATTCAGGTTGGGAGACTGTAAGTTGCAGAATGGTTCATTACTCTGTCAGCATTGTAAGCTGATAATCATGCAGCTTGCAGTTCTTAAGCTGAAAAGACAAATTATTGTGCTTTGCTGAATAAGTATTTTGTATCTTATTTTTATAAAATCTTATTGTCTCATAGCACACGCATAAAGTAACGAAGGGAAGGACAAGAATCAAAGGGTCAAGAATGAGAACGATACAGAGAATCCAAAATGGACATCTGGAGATGCCTACACACTGAGCTACACATCAGGCCTCAAGGACTAAAGACTAATTAAAACTATGGAAAGGAGAGCACCTGGCAACTGAAACGGGCCTGCAGGGAAGCCAACCAGAACCAGACCTGCAAACTCGGATCCAATAGAAGGATAACAAGTGACTATGGGAGGGGAACTGATAAGGGAATAAAAGTTACTGTTTTTGCCTACTGCGCTTGCGTGCCGTGAGTGGAGCAGGGGCCTCCCCGGCCGCTCAGCATGCTGTTTTGCTTATTTGCATTTTCATAAATCTTCAATAAATTTTTATTGCTATATGTCAGCCTAGTTTCATTTACTTATAACAGTATGGAATTTTGGGAGTCAGACTTCCACTTTCAGCACAGGGTTCCTGTAAGCAAAAAAAAGCACTTTTCTCCCTCATTAAACTGAGACACAGACCTTTCCTCAGGAAAGAAAGCCTGTAACCTTTGACTTTCAGGTGCAGTTGGTGGGCCTGGGATCTCCATGGGCAGCAAGAGTTTTCTGTCTTGACACCTTCTTTCTGGGAGGAATCTGTCAGTATTTAAATTTGGGAGTTGAAGTGGCAATTTCAGCACCCCAAAAGCTCATGACAGCCCTTTTCCCCAGGAAAGAAAGCCTGTAACCTTTGGATGTTAAGTGCAGTTTGTGGGTCAACCTGGGCACAACATGGCCAGCAAGAGCTTTCTGTGCAGGCATCTTTTGCCTGGGAGGAAACTTCTTCTTCCATATTGAATTTTGGGAGTCGTACAACCAATTTCATTGCAGGGCTCCTAAAAACAAATGACAGCCCTTTCCTCCATGTAACCTTTGTTTTTCAGGTGCAATTGGTGGGCCACCGTGGGCACTCCATTGCCAGCAAGAGCTTTCTGTCCTGCCCCCCTTATGTCTGGGAGGCATCTTAGTCAGTATTCAGTTTGGGGAGTCAGACTGGCAATTTCAGAGCACGGCTCTGGAAACAAATGACAGCCCTTTCCCCCAGGAAAGCAAGACTGTAACCTTTGGGTGTTAGATGCAGTTGGTGGGTGTATTGGGTCTGACTGAGCTGGAGTTCATTTCCCCACAGTAGTTCTCACAGTATTGTGCTTTGCATTGGTAGCTAGAAGGGTGTTGATCAGCACTGTAACGTTCCTTCCTCAGCTGATGGCAAGATCCTGGGAGGGCACACAGCCAGACCAGCTGACCCAAAGTGACCAAAGGGATATTCCATACCATCTGACATCAGCTCAGATATAAAAGCTGAGGCAAGGATCAAGAAGGCAGGCGTTCATTGTCTCCAATGGCTGCCTGCTGAGAAACCGTCATGCATGCTGAAGCCCTACTTCCCAGAAGTGGCCGACCATCGCTGCGCATGGGAAGTAGAGAATAAACCGTGTTATCTTTCACTTCGCTTTTTGAGCACAAGCTTTAGCTTTACTTTTTGCTTTAAATCAACTGCCTTATCCCAACCCACAAGTTGTTTTTTCCACCCTACTCTCTCCCCTGTCTGGTTGACAAGGGAAGTGATAGGGTGGCTGGGTGGGCACCTGGCATCCAGCCAAGGTCACCTTACCACAATTCCTTAAATTTTTTAACTTTGAGACCCTTACCTAAACTCTCAAGGAGTAGCTTGAGATGTTAAAGCTCACAAAATCCTTGTTTTAGTGGAGTGTTTATGAAAGAGCTATTCCCAACACTACAGGGCTTAACAGTATCAAGCTGCTGAGTTTGATTTCTTTGAATAAAGCCATTATATGTGAAAACTGCAGCAGACAGGGGCTAATGCTCAAGAGCTGGCTGAGCTGCCCCCTGCAAAAGAAACACATACTAATGGTAGATTTTACTGAATTATGGTTTAATTTCATAATCTACAGCTTGTCTGTACAACGTTGTACAAAATGTAACCAAAAGGAACATTTCAGCCCCATGGAAGGCTTTGGTTGTCTGAGGATGCAGGGAATTGGAGTCTTCAATGTATTTTCTCCTGTCTTCTGGATGCTGTCACAGAAGTACCTTTGGTGCTCAGGCTGTGGTACCTTCCTACACTCACCAGAACATTTTGCTTTCCAGTCTCCTCTTTTCAGTGGTGGAATTCCCCTGCCATGGTAGGAAGTCTCTGCTGGTACCTCTTATTTCTGATCAGACATGAAAGGTTTTTAACATCTTTTTGTATCAGGCAGAACCGTTCCAGCAGTGCCACGAGACAGGGGCAGTGAGGATGCAGAGGTGACACTGGTGTGGCAGTTCAGGACTGACACAGCCTTTCTTACAGCACTTGTTGTAGGGCTGCTCTGCTCACACTGATACAGCTGGTGGCAGATTTACAGTCCTTCCCAGGAGGGCATTTTCACTGAGTGCCACTAATTCCATGCCAGGCTGGTCTGAGAATTCATCTCTTACCCAGATTAAAATGAGCAGGCAGACATTCCTTTTAACTTAGAGGTTAAGGAAAATAACATACTTAGCTGCTACTGGTATGCAATACATGTAGAACTACTTCTCCCAGGATTAGGAAACCTGCTGAGAATCCATTGGAATCCAAAGGGATTGTTTTGGCTTAGAAAACCACATGGGAAAGGCCAACCTCAGAGATCTCTGGTGGTCAGAAATATCCCTGTTGCAGCCTGACAGCAGGTAAGGGGTGTGGTGGGATGGTCTCTCCTGCCTGTGCTCTCCATGGAAAGTTTCATTTTGGCCAACTACTTTTCCTCTCATCTTCTGTGTTTGCAAAGCTTCTAATGTGTGTTTTAAAGGTCTAGTGGAAAGCCATGATCATTACAAAAAATACAATTTTCTTCAAGCATTTTCCCCCTGATTTTGACTAAAATGCAGCATCGTGTTCAAAATGCAATTACTGGATGTGAAAAATTAACCCCTCAAGCTAAAATGAACATCTGAAAATAAATGCACAGTTTTAGTATGGACCTGTCCTCACTAAAACCTTCTCATTCACAGAGCAGTGCAGGGATGTTGTCAGGAGGGTCAAGCTACAGGGTGGAATCTGAAAATAAGAGAAGGAGAATTGTCTCAGTATTGTAATGCAGGAGATGATAAATAGTCTGAAAGGCCCCCTGGAGAGGGGGAGCTGGGCCAAAAAGACCAATGTCTGCAAAAGGATGACAGGGATGGTCCTTATGGGTCCCTTCCAACTCAGAATATTCTGTGAAATCTGTGAAATCTGGGGATTTAACTGACCCATTTCTCCACTACTGTAATCCCATTGCAGTGTTTTGCATTAAAGGGAAAATATTTGACTCAAAGTAAAGGATATTTCACTGAGTACAAGCACCAGCAATATTTAGGCATAAGTTTATCCATCCTTAGTCAATCCCACTTCTCCATTCACATCAGGATCTCAGTGGCCCTCACCACATCCCTCTCTTTCCTCCCTTCCCATTGTCTTTGGCCACCAAACCTTCACTGTTCCCTTGCTGCTCCACCTCAACTTGCACATCTGCAGGATCTTTATTCTGCAGATCCTGCACTGGAGATAAACCCAACTGAGATATTATCTTATCCAATGAAAATGGGATTGTTCTTTCTAAAATATTTTATCAGAATCAACCTAAACCTCTGTCTCATGTAGAAACCGAGTGGTTTTTTTTACATCTGTCTTTTAATTTCTAGTTCTGTTCCCTACTTGATCACTAAAAAAAGATAATCAGAAGTGAAATAAAGTAGGAGACTGCACTTGTTCTACAGCAGGTAGAACTGCATGAGACCATTTCTGAGGCCCTTGGCAGCAATGACACACCATGGCATCCCCCAGGGAAGGAAGAACACTGCAGATTTTACCTTTGATGGCGAGGAAGGCTCTGCTGGAGACACAACCCACTTCATTGGAGGCTTCCACCCTATATTCTCCTGCATCCTGTTTGGTGACCCCCATGATAACCAGGGAGCAGACTCCAAAGTCGTTTGTGCAGAAATAGTTTGGATCATTGGAGAGGTCTCTACTGTCTTTGTACCAGGTGATTTTTGGGGGCGGGTGGCCCCCAACTGCACAGCTCATGTGACACTCACTCCCTGTCACCACCACGTGGGGCTTCAGCGGGACAAGGAATCTTGGGTGCTGGTTTTGATTGACTCCCCTGTATTTCTGGGGTGTGACTCGGATTTCAGCTGTAAAAAACAAACAGAAAAACACAAACAGACCCTCAGATCCAGCTCCCAGCAGTGAAGTTTGCAGGGCTGGTTTTCAGTCAGACACTTGGCTGTGAAGAGTCTGAAATTCTGCACTGTAATTCCCAGAGATCCTATGCACCCACGGATTGTAACCTGTGCAACTTCTCACATTACCCTGGATTTAACTTTGGAGCCAGAAACTTTGGTTTCTGCAAAACTTAATAGATTTTTCCAGGAATTCATTTTGTGGCAAATTGCACAATATAAGGGCTGCGAATGAAGGAACTCTCTGCACAATGTCCCTGCAGAAAGGACAAAACTGGAATATCTCTAGGCATTCTTGTTCTAAACATTCCTAGGAGGAGAGAACTATTTCAGTATGGGGTGTTAGAAACAATAAAAGAAACAAAGCATAACAACACAAACAGAGAAATAGCTGAAAAAAACTGGTTTACCCTTTGTTTTTCGAATCCTCCAAGGCTGCACAGTTTCAGATGGAGCACTGGCTCCCAGGCTGTTCTTTGCCACCACCTTAAAGTAATAATCCCTGCCTGGGATCACACTGGTGAACGTGAACTTGTTGTTGTAGAGCAGGTCCCCCACCACGTGCCACACGCCCTTCTCGGATTCCCGTTTTAGGACAGTGTAGTAGAGGTTCTTTTCCCACTTCTCAGATTCTGATGGTTCCCAGGTCACTGTCACTGTGTTGGGTACATTCTCTTCCAACTTAAGTGGTCCAGGAGGCTGTGGGATGTCTGTGAGTTGAGGGCAAATAATGTCACAGGTGTAGAGACAGTGGCACAGTGCAGAACCCTAAAAACTTGGAGTCTATCCCATGGGGGCTCAGTAAAGATCCTGATCATTGGAAGGGGAAAATTTGATTCCTTCTCCAGCCACACAAACACTTTTGCTATGAACTGAGCTGCTGCTGCAGAACATCTGCATTGCTGGGCCTCCTGCCCTTCTTGCAAGGAGGAGAGGAGGGTGACAGAGCTGAACTGCTTCCCCTCCTGGGGACACAGCTCAGAGAGATGTTTCAGATGGGGCTCAGTGTCCTACAGCCTGTGCTGACTCCCCTCAGGCTTTTCCAGAGAGCATGAACTGCTCCTGGGGTTTGCAGTGTCTGTTTGTGGGACCTGGACTGGTCCTTTTCAGCAGAGTCACTCTGGAAGTACAGTTTTAATCAGTGGATTGCTCTGTCCTGCAGAAAAGTGATATAATGAAGTGCCCAGACTGAATCCCATGGAAAAACTGTACCCTGTTCTCCCTGTGCCTGAGTGGCCAAACTGCATCACAGTTCACCCTGCCAAACTGAGCTTGTTGCCTGCTGCCTATTCTCAGTAAATCACAGAATCACAGACTGGTTTGGGCTGAAGGGTCTTTAAAGCTTCTCTCATAGGCAGGGACACCTTCCAGTAGACCAGGTTGCTCCAACCTGGCCCTGAACACTTCCAGGGATGGGGCAGCCACAGCTGCTCTGGGCAACCTATGCCAAGGCCTCATCACCCCTACAGGGAAGAATTTCTTCCCAATATCCCATCTAATCCTGCCCTCTGTCAATGTGAAGCCATTCCCCCTTGTCCTGTCCCTCCATCCCTTGTCCCAAGTCCCTCTCCAGCTCTCCTGGAGCCCCTTTAGCCACTAGAAGGGGCTCCAAGGTCTCCCTGGAGCCTTCTCTTCTCCAGGTAAACACCACCAGCTCTCCCAGCCTGGCTCCAGAGTAGAGGGGCTCCAGCCTTCCGAACATCTCTGTGGCCTCCTCAGGACTCACTCCAGCAGGTCTAGAGGGCCCCCCAGAGCTGGAGGCAGCTCTGCAGGTGGGGTCTCACCTGAGGGGGGCAGAGGGGCAGAATCCCCTCCCTCAGTTGCACACACTGTGAGGTTTCTGGGCTGGGTCATGTCCAGCCTCTCCTCCACCAACACCCCAAGTCCTTCCTCTCAGGGTTGCTCTCAATCCCTTCATCCCACACAGCCTGGATTGACACTGGGAGTGGCTGGTACACACGGATGGCAGTGAGTTACCTGTAATTTGGACCTGGAAGCTGAAGGTCTGTCTCTTGCCCAGCTCGTTCTGCAGCTCCACGCTGTAGGTGCCGCTGTCGCCGAGCTCGGCTGCCCCGATCAGCAGCCGGGTGGTTCCGTCCTCGGTTTTTATGGTAGCCCGGTTGGGAAGAGGGAGCCCATCCTTTAACCAGATCACCACTGGCTCTGGAGATCCCTGGAAAGAACAGCATGAGTAACAGACCACTTGTTTCACCTCTAGATTGTGTCCTTACATCTGTAGTTTCATTACTTCTCGTCCCAAATATGTACCTGAACGACACGGTGGAGTCATATCTAGAAATATGGAGCCAAGATGGATCTAAGAGCCCTAATGTGCTCTGAACTTTCTTTGTAACTGTTTTCTTTCTCAGTGTCTTTAAGGATGTTTTTGCAGTAAAGTGTTTAGAACTATAGCAGCCAAAGTATTCTGTGTCAAGAACAGATGCCATCAGGAATTAATATTTTCTACTTTTTAAAAAAGATCTATTGGGTTTGGAAAGAAAAAGCATCCTCACGGTCTTTACTTCCCTTGTACCATCTTTGGTCTCAGTTCTCCCAGAGATCAGGAGAAAGGTCAGCAAATATCACGCTTGGCCTTCATCCACCTCCTCTTGATACCCCAGACTTTACAGAATCACAGGATTGTTAAGGTTGGAAAAGACCTCTGAGATCATCAAGTCCGGCCTGTAACTGATCCCAGCCCAGAGCACAGAGTGCCACGTCCAGAGATGGGGACTCCATCACCTCCAGGGCAGCCCCTTCCAATGCCTGACCACCCTTTCTGTGAATAAAAACCTTTGTTGTTCCAAGCTGATTCCAAAGCCCCCCGGATTTCTGTCAGTGCCTGCCTGTTTCTCAAGCCATAGAGCTTAAATTCTGCTGCTTAGTGAGACAAACACAGTCAACAAGGTGTTGCTAGAAAAGCAACCCCAGGTCCTTTTGAGGGAGTCAGAGGGAAATTTTTTAAATTTTATTGTCTTTTTATTTATATTATATATATATTGTTTATTTCATATTTATATTTTATAATATTATTTTATATAATTTTATATACTAATAAAATTTATATAATTTATTCTATTATATAAATATAGTATCTAATATAAACAGTAAATATAAATATATAATATAAAAATTAATTATTTTTTAAGTCTGCCAGAGCAGTGGCAGATGATGTTAATGTTGATAAGGTTGGATGGACAGCTTTGTGCCTTGTTAGCAGAGGTATAACCTCATAATGCACTGATGCCAACAAGTGACAGCTGAATTTCTGCTGGTGCTTTCCTCACCCAGAAAGTACACACAGCACAGGCAGCCAAAGGATTTGCCCGGTGTCTTGTAAACTAAGGAGCATGGCAAGAAAACAGTGGCTCAGTTTTCATGTCAACTACTGACTTAGAGCATAGAAACTGGCAGGAAATTCTACAAACCCATGGAATACGTACCTCAAAGGGAATATTCACCCGGATGGTGTTTCCTGCTCTTATAACCAGGAGGTTTTTCACTGTGTCATCGATTAGTAATCTGGGAGGAACTGGAAAACACAGGGATTGCACTGAATAGTTGTACACTGGTGACAGTCTCAGGTGCTGGATACCCCAGTGCCTTCCCCACAGCAGAGCTGAGGCTGGTGAGGAACTCACGGTGAAAAAGAAGCTCCCTGATTCACCCCTAGACTTTACACATTTCAAATTCCATGACTATTTATTTATCACTGCGAGCAAAGAAGGGGAAATCACATAAAAATACATTCACAACAATCTCTGTACTCATGTGATGTCTCAGTCACAGATAAATTGGCTCTTTACCCCATCACAGGGAAGATCTTTTGTGTTTAAATGGTGTCTGGAGAAAAGGAAATTCCAGTGGACACTTACAAAATACACTTGCAATACAGAGTACAGAAAACCCACAGGAAACCAGCCAGAGTTTATTTCAAATAATATTCTTTTAGTATTCAAAATATATTTATTTTTTAACCAATATAATATACTATTGTATTTAGTATTATTTTTTTAATGCCAAATACAATACTGGTAAATTGTATTTAGTGTTTCCACTACAAAACTGAAAAACCTGCTTCCCAGATGGACTTATTTTATGTACTGATTGATTACAAAAGGAGTCTCCAGGCATAGCTCAAAAGTAGACAACTTCCCTTAGGTCCCAAGTTAAGGAAGATGAATCCCTTACAGAACTATCTCTTACTTCTGTAATTCTGCAAAATTCCCAAGTAGCAGTTAAAAAAAGCAGAACTACAGATTGTAAATCAAGATGGAAAAGTGGAAATGTTTTCTATCTGGTGACTGTGGTAGGGCTCTGCACAGGGTGCAAAATATAAATGCAAAGAGAAAAAAGAGTTTTGGGGGTTCTTTTATTCTGATGAGTCTCTAACATGAACTGAACACTGTGCACTGCGCATCTAATATCAGTTAAATATTCAGAATTTTCTGGCAATTTGACCAGATAACAAGAATGCAGAGGAGCTGTGAATACTCATCATTCTTCTGTTAGTCTGGGACATGAAAGAAGCTCATCCCAATGTCCTACAGCCCTTGCTGCTCCTGTTCCCTCTGAAAGGAACCACAGACTTACCCACAGGGGCAGCAGCCTCCATAAAGGCCTCGAGCTCTGTGGCCTCTCCTGGGCCGCTGTCGTTGAGGGCTCTCACACGCAGGAAATACTTCTCCTTGGGCTGGAGGCCCTTGACTGTGCCCGTGGTGGCCTCTGCAGGAAGGGTGAGGCATCTGGTCCAGCTGGAGCTGTGGGAAGGCCTCACCTCCACCTCGTAGCCTTTCACTTCGTTCCCGTCTTTGACCTCAGGTCTGTTCCACGTCAGGGTGATGCTGGTGCTGTCACAGCTGCTCACCTTGAGCTCCTGCACTTGACCTGGGGATTCTGAAAAAAGAAATTTTGTTTAAAGTACTTTTTCTAGGATTTCTGTTCCATCTTTTCAGTCACTTGTGAGATTCCGCAGCATTCTTGGAGAGCACTGGATATCCACCACGCTGTCTTGCCCATGCCTTGTCCCAGTTCTTCAGAGATGGATCTTTGTTCCTGCCAGACCCGCAGTACAACCCACAACACCCCCAACACGGTCTGCAGCCCATCCCGAGTCCTTCTACACACTGCACATAACCCCACACAGGGAGTCTGCCACACCTTCCCTTGGACATCCCACAGGAAATCCTTCCACTCCTTCCTCAAGCTGATTCTCAACCATGAAACATTCCCCAGTTATTTGATCTTTGTCTTCACACACTTTTACAGAACATTTAAGAATATCTGCTCTCCACTAACACCCCCAGTCTACATTCAGCTACCCCAAAACCAGAAGAACAGAGCACTTACTCGTGGGATCCCGGGCAAAGACGGGCTGTGAGGGGTCACTGGCATCTCCTGTGCCAGCAGCATTGACAGCTGCCACCCGAAATTCATATTGCAGACCTTTCTTGAGGTTGGTCACCTTCAGCTTCTTGTCTGCAGGAAGGAAAGGAGTGTGTTGTCTCAGGTGAGCTGTTCCCCAGCAGGAGAGGGAAGACAACAATGCTGTACCTTACTCCAGGTAGAATTATGGACTGAATAATTCTCAGGAGCTATAAATGCTATCATTGATTCCCCTGCCCTTTCCTATCCAAGTGCATGTGTACTTCTGGGATGTGTTCATTTTATTCCCTTCAAAATCAAACAGCACTTGAATCACAGAATCACAGAATCATTTAGGGTGGAAAAGACCTCTGAGATCGCTGAGTCCCCCCTGTGCCCGATCCTCACCTTGTCACTAAGCCCAGAGCACTGAGTGCCACATCCAGTCGTTCCTTGGACATTTTCAGGGATGGGGACTCCACCACCTCTCTGGGCAGCCCCATCCAAGGTCTGACTACCCTTTCCAGGAAGAAATTCCTTCCAATGTCCAACCTGACCCTCCCCTGGCACAGTTTGAGGTTTCCTCTTATCCTGTCCCTTGTTCCCTGGGAGCAGAGACTGACACCCCGCACCACCACACTCCTGCCCTGGCTTCCCCCTCCTCAGGGACTTGCAGAGAGCCAGAAGGTCCCCCCTGAGCCTCCTTTTCTCCAGGGTGAGCCCCCCCCAGCTCCCTGAGAAGCTCCAGACCCTTCCCCAGCTCTGTTCTTTTCCCCCGGTATGCTCCAGCCCCTCAATGTCTTTCTTGAATTAAGTGGTGCAGAACCGGGCACAGCACTCAAGGTGCAGCCTCGGCAGTGCTGTTGAGAGTTAATAAGTTAGAGATACAGGATGCATCCTGCTTTTCCTCAGGGGATGATCCTAAACCCTTCTATACCAGAGAACTCCTGATTTATCCCTAATAGAAGATGCTGCTATAGTCAAAGCACACTCTGGAGCTCATACACATCACTTGGGTTTCTTTATATCCCTTGCATTTATAAAGTCCTGTCTGTAGGACTAAGGACAGTAGTTCTGCATGTGAAGTGAAGGCTTTAGTTCCAGAAAATGGAGACATCAGAGGAGCTACATCCCAGGATGCAGCATGAACTTCTCTGTGCTCTTCTCCAGGTGCCTCCACACAACCTAGAAAAGACCATAATCCTGCCCCCAGGCTCAGCTGTGTATAAACCAAGAGCTGGCTTTGCTGTGGCACAGCCATGAAACCTTAGCTGGGAGAAAAATGGAGTTGTGAGAAAACGTACACACCAGAGCTGAGAAAAATAGAAGGTAAAACTTCAGACACACTAAAATGGCTGTGATGGAGCCAGTCAGCAGCTCAGGAATTCCAGAGGAAAAACACCAATGTGAAAAGGTGTAAGATCCTAAGCCATTCCTGAACCCAGATGAACTTTTTGCCTTGTCAAGTCTTCCAGACTGTTCCAGGATTTGGGATACCCACCTTTTACAGGCCCATTGGTGACTGGCAGCCAGGTCACGGTGCCCTTCTTGCGTTTCTGAACTATATATCCCACAATTCGGGAAGCACCAGTTTTACGAGGTGCTTTCCAGGATATTGTGATGGTGTCCCTGCTGGCACTGACGATCTCAGGGGGATCTGGGGCCCCAGGGGAAGCTAGAAAGAGATTAGGGTTCCATTATTAGCAGGTGTACTTTTATTGCAAGATAATATAGCGTTCTGTGTCATTTCTTCTTCAGTTTCCCCAAGGTATTCACATGGATGTGCTTTGAAAACCTGGATCCAGCATGGACCTTGTTCCTGAGTTTTGATTTCACAAAAACCTGTCATCAGGACTGACAATTCCACTGTCAGCCAACAGAGTGAGGTGTGTCCTTCTTACATAGTAGGAACAGTCAGCATCATTCTTGCTTTTAATGATAAAAACTGGTACAAGTATGGATTTTTTAACACTCTGCTAAAGCTTTCAAAATACATAATCAATGTAGAAAGAACCAGAATATAGCATTGCTCTCTCTAGTACTGCATTTGTGCTCATCGCCAAACTGTGTCTAGTATTTGAACTCACTGGAGGACAAAAAACACATTCAGTTGTTTGGAAATCAGGGAAATTGGAGTGGTCATGCTGAAAAATGCTGCACCTATGGAGACACTGCTTTGTCCATGAAGTTAAGAAAAGGCCTCACATGTTCCCTTTCTAGCCACACTGGGAAAATTTTCCTTTGATCTGGATGCATTTTGCATTTCCCCTCTGGAATTGGTTTCCAATTCAGAATGGAGCATTGCCAAGAAGGCAACTCCACCTCAGCATCACCAGAGCCTACAATAAACTGCTGGTCTTGCTGTGCAGCCTCCACAGATTTGTGTGAAGACTTCACAGCCACCATTCAAGTTTAGTTCTGTAGCAACATCCAAAGTGCAGTGAGTTTTCTTTGATGTCAGCTTTGATAATAGATTTCCCAACCTGAATTATGAACTATAAAAAGTTCTCCTTACCTTTACCAACCGCCTTCACTTCACCCGACTCCAGCGCATCACTCGTTCCCTCCACGTTCACAGCTCTCACCCTAAAGTAGTAGCTTGTATCTTCTTCCACTTTGTTAGTAGTGAAGGTGGTGCAGCTCCTGGGGGTTTCTCCCAAAGTCTCCCAGTTGTTCTTGCCCACCTGCAGCCTCTCCACAATGTACCTTTGCACTGGTTTGCCCCCGTCGTCCTTTGGGGGCTGCCACTGGATGGTGATGTCGTTTGCAGAGCTCTCAACAATTTTGATGGGTCCTGCTGGTGGTTGTGGCTTGTCTGGAAAGATGGACAGAAAGATGATGAGTTGGGTGCAGACCCAGATGTACTCCTGGGTTTGGAGTAGCTCACAAGCTGGGAGACTGTCCCTGATGGAACAGTCTGCACAGCTGCAGAATGAGGGCTGGGCACTGAAATTGCCTCTTCCAAATTTCCACTCTTCTAACTTTGATAGAAAGGGACAGCCAGGCCCTTGCTCTCTCTGGGCCAACTGTTCCCATAAGTACTGTGCCAAGTCAGCTTGATGATACAGGAAGAACATCATTTCTGGTCTCCCAAAAGGGCCCAGACATTTATGGTAGGGCTGAATTTGGCCTTGATACCCCATTTCAGATTTGCATGTTGAGCATAGTCCCATCTCCCACAGTCTCCCAATGTTCAAAACTCAGCTGATGAGGCTGTGAAAAACCAAACTAGACTTGTGCCACCTTGTACTAAAGGGTAAGAAGCATGTCAGGAATCTTTCTTTGTACCCTGACTCAGTGGCAAAATACAGTGTTGTTCCTCTTGGAATACCCTGTAGCTCCAAATAAGATTGTCACCAGTGTCAATGGGTTCCCTGCCTAAGCTCAACAGTGGATTTACGGGGCTCTTACCTATGACCGTGAGCTTTAAGTTGATCTCCAGGACTCCACTGTCATTCTTCAGCCTGACCTTGTAATCCCCACGGTCCTTCCTCTCACAGCTGGGGATGGACAGCATGGTGTGAGTGTCTGTTTTATCCACACGGATCCTGGTGTCATCTGCCAGCTCCATCTTGTCCTTGAGCCACGTGGCCCTGATGGGCAGACGGCCCTCAAAGGGGATCCTGAGCTTCACTGGCTGCCCAGCCTTGGCCACCGTGGGAACACTGGTCAAGTTTTTGAGGAGAACTTTGTCAACCTGTGGAGGGTCTAATCAGGCAATACAAAGTCATTAAAAACCACAGTTCAAAGGGGGCAAAGCTTGGAGGGAAGGGCTCCCCTCAGGATGCTGCCAGTAACTCTTAGAATGTCATAACACTTGGACCTCTGCTCATTTCATGCTCAGAGATTTACAAACTTGTACTTTGCTACAGGATAATTATCACAAGGTTTTGTGGTATTACACTGTCCTTCCACTGGAGAAGGTTTCTCATTAGCAACACACTGAACACAAAGAATGAAGAACCTGTTCTGATAAAGTGTTATGTGCACCCCAAAATATTTGAGTTACCAATAGAAGCTATGTGGGAAGGCTCCCTAGTTAAATTTGTGAATGCAAAATGCACCAACCTGTACAAAACCCATCTCTCAGTTATCTTGAAATTCTTTATAATAAAGTTATCCATAAACAACTACTGGTCTCTGATAAAATATAATGGCCAGTCTTCACGAGTGAAGGATCCGGGGAAGGTCTTTACAACCTTCCAGCCTGCGCATTGGATTTTTTAGGTGAGACACAGTGTGCACGGAACTGAGCCCACCCTTTAATCCTAAGGTTCATCTGCCGGGGCCAAGCGAGCTTGGACGGTGGCAGCGAGGTCCTTAGGACGTAGGTGGGTTGCCTTTAAGGGCTAACGAGCTCCATCTGCCCAGGAGTGGCCCTGACCGGGAATCGAACCCGGGTCTCCGCGGTGATAGCGCCGCGCCTTTACCACTAGACCACCAGGGGCTCTTCTGATAAAATATATTATATTTAAAGCCCATCAAGGTTCACATGCTGCATTGGTGGTTTGAATAGACTCACCTTCAACAAAAATTGAAGCTTCAGTTTTCACATCTCCACCTTCAAACCTGTACTTCCCAGCATGAATATCTTCAGCTTTGTTAATAATTAGTTTGTGGACTAGACCTTTCTTTTCAAACACGACTCCTTGCATGCTTGTCAACTACAAGGTAAAGGACAGAGACCCATTCTTTGAGAAGAAAAGGGGAAAAAAGCAATCCAAACTGAAACTGAGATAAGCATTATCAACATACTCCCCACGGAGACCTCGGTTTTTTTCAAAGATCAATTAAAATAAATGTTAGTTCAACCTCCAAGCTCTCTCTTTCTGTTCTTAATGACAAAACTTTTGATCAATGCTTGAGTATGAAACCTCAGAAGTCCTACAGTATCATCTGGATCCCACAGCTGAAATTACTTTTCAGTGTTCTTTAGGAACATAGCATATGTTACAAAGGATATAGAATATATCTATAGGATATAGATGTGTGGTGGTGGTGGTGATGGGTTCAAGGTTGGAATTGATGGTTTTAGAGGTCTTTTCCAACCTAAACAACCCTATAATTCTGTATGATGTCTGTGCTTGACCTTAAGCACTAATTTGAACAAGGACTCTTCATGTTATCCCTGCCTGAAAGATCCTTTGAAGATTTTTTCCTTGGTTTTGGCATTTCTCTCTCATTCATCCAGGAAAAGAAGAAGAGTTGCATTGTAAGGAAGTGACCACATCATCTCCATCCCTGACATAGAATGGAAAACACAAAGCTGCCTGTTGTCAGCAAGAATGGGAATGCCTTGTAGCAGGAAGGGGGAGAAATCTTTCTGGGTTTCTATCAAGAAAGAGATATCCCACCCCTATAAGTGTTGGACAGGACTTGGAGCAACCTGGTCTAGTGGAAGGTGTCCCTTCCCCTGGCAGGGGGATGGGAACAAGATGGTCTTTGAAGTCCCCTCCAACCCAAACCATTCTGGGATTCTGTGAGCCTGTGAATCCTTTCAGGACCACAGTCAGGCTGCAGCAGATGGCAAAGGACACCTTGACATGATACTTAGGAAGTAAAGCCAGAGCGCAGAGCATTGCTAACCAAAGAAAACAATGAGTGGAAGGACACCCACCTTTAGCCCATCTTTAAACCAGGTTCCTGTCACATCATCTTTGCTGACAGTGCAGGACAGCTCAGCTGGTTCCCCCTTCACCACCCGGACCGTCGCCAGCTGCTTGTTGAGGTAACACCGTGGTACTGAGCAGTCACAGGGGAAAATGGTGAGAACATGAAAGTGGATGTGCATATAAAGAAAAAAGAGAGCTTTTTAAAATCTATATCCTGTGGTCATGACAGGCCTTTGTGCCCCCACACTGTAACTACCTGGGTACACTCAGAAGGGATGTGCCAGGTGGCCTGTACATGATACAGTCCTACCATCAACCCATGGGCAACTGATTCATCACAAATCATATTATTCAGATATGGATTTGCTGGTTTATGTCTATGCTAATTGTCTTGGCTTCCTCTACAGCCAGTGGGGAAAAAAAGGCTGTTCCAGGGTGTGGATATACTGCTTCATCATCCTCTTCCTCTGCACTGACCAGACAGAGGGCTGCCTGACCACATTCCCCCAAATAGCCCCGGGAATACTGTTCTCCACCCCTGTATTCCTCTTTCCTTTCCCAAGTTCTTCTCCATTAACAACCTTATCCCCTCTCTAATAAAACACCCCTTTAAGTCCAATTTGATTTTAGTTCCTTATTTATATTTTGTTTGCCTTGATAATTCCTAACTTGTCAGTAATCCCATTAGGTTATACATTTGAAATTCCTCATTTCTACAATTTTTACATCATCATCTTGCTAGAGGAGCCACAGGTCTTACTCAAACAATTGCAAACACTCCCTTTTTACTATATCAGCACCTTATTATTTATGATGTTACAAGAGAAAAGAGCTCTTTACATTATATATCCCAGTATAAGCAGGCACTTTACATTAGGCCCAATTAAAAAGAATCAAATAGAAGCAAAGAATTGTTCCCAGAAATTGGAAAACCACAGTTCTTTGCACTAGATGTTAGAAAAAATAATTTTAAATTAGCAACAAGTTTTAAATTACAACAATATCAAAGAAACACAATGATATTCCTTAAAATTTTATGGGAATCGGTTGGTTCCACGTGGATGTGAAACGTATATGAATGAACAGATGAGACCTGATTTAGATCATTTAAGCAAAGATCATTTAAATATTGAAGGCAATTTGATCAGAGCAAGTTGTGTAAGAAACAGCAAATCAGTGGGAGAATTAGGAAGGGATCACAACCAGATTTCTACACAGAAATCTATTTTTCTGACTAAAAATAAAATTCCATTCTTTGCAGGATCAAGAATGTGAGAATCCAAATGCAAAGTCATCAATGAACCACTGAACCACGAACCTTTGAGATCATCCAGGCAAGACCGTTTTTTTTGGGCCGTAATTTCCGTATTGTTCGGGAGATCCTTTGCTTTAATTCCCAAGTCAGGTTCCTCATTCCTCTGGCTTATTGGAGGAAGTCCACCAAAAAGACCTGACATCTGACCTTGACTCGGTGGACCTTGAAAAAAGCTATCTGAACTACTCCCATTAACAGGTTTGCTATGGGATTTACTCCCTGCCCCTCCAAAGGCAGAATTTTTGCCATAAAGGGAGCCCAACTGTCCTAAATCTCTACCCTCACCCTTGACATCTCCTTGACCTGACAGTGACTCTCTGTCATCAGCTGAACCTTGGTTCCCTAATCCTCTCACATCATTGGCAATGCCCTTTCCATATTGACCACCTGGTCCACCACCACCTCCCACACCTCCTTTACCAAGGAATGAATCCCTTTCATCCCCTCCCAACCTCCCAACGGCACCTGCACCAGCCCAGGCTCCAGCTGATCCCATGTCCTTGCCATAGGGAGTCCCAGCGCCCCACACTGCGGAGCCACCGACACCCCCACCTTCCATGGAAAAACCCTCTCCTCCTGCTCCACCTGGATATCCCAGAGCTCTGCACAGCCCACTGTCCCTGCCACGCTGAGATCCCATTGCTCCCTCATCTCCAAATGGAAAATGAGCAGCTCCTGCCACAGCCCCAGCTGGGAGACCATCCATTCCATAGGGAGAGCCAACTCCTGCACCAGCTGCACCACCAGCTCCAGCTGGAACACCATCCTTCCCATAGGGAGACACAACTCCTCCTGCACCAGCTGCACCACCAGCACCAGCTCCAGCTGGAACACCATCCTTCCCATAGGGAGACACAACTCCTCCTGCACCAGCTGCACCACCAGCTCCAGCTGGAACACCATCCTTCCCATAGGGAGACACAACTCCTCCTGCACCAGCTGCACCACCAGCTCCAGCTGGAACACCATCCTTCCCATAGGGAGACACAACTCCTCCTGCACCAGCTGCACCACCAGCACCAGCTCCAGCTGGAACACCATCCTTCCCATAGGGAGACACAACTCCTCCTGCACCAGCTGCACCACCAGCTCCAGCTGGAACACCATCCTTCCCATAGGGAGACACAACTCCTCCTGCACCAGCTGCACCACCAGCTCCAGCTCCAGCTGGAAGACCATCCTTCCCATAGGGAGAACCAACTCCTCCTGCACCAGCTGCACCACCAACACCAGCTCCAGCTGGAAGACCATCCTTTCCATAGGGAGAACCAACTGACCCTGCACCAGCACCACCAGCACCAGCCCCAGCTGGAAGACCATCCTTTCCATAGAGAGACCCAAATGGCCCTACACCAGCACCACCAACACCAGCACCACCAACACCTGCTCTAACTGGAAGACCATCCTTTCCATAGGGAGCTGCAACTCCCCCTGCACCAGCACCACCAGCCCCACCAACACCAGCTCCAACTGGGAGACCATCTTCTCCATAGGGAACCCCAACTGCCCCTGGACCAGCAGCAACAGCTGCTCCAACTGGAAGACCATCCTTTGCATAGTGAGACCCAAATTCCCCTGCACCAGCACCACCAGGACCAACACCAGCCCCAGCAGGGACCCCATCCTTTCCATATGGAGATCCAAATCCCCCTGCACCAGCAGCACTGGCTCCAGCTGGGAAACCATCAATTCCATATGGAGATCCAACACCTCCCAAACCACCACCTGGAGCTTCACCAATGCTTGGTCCAGCAGGGAGACCACCCTTTCCATAAGGAGCCCCAGCTCCCCCTGCACCACCAGCACCTGCTCCAGCTGAAAAACCGTCCATTCCATAAGGAGATCCAGCACCTCCAAAACCACCACCTGCAACTCCACCAGTGCCTGGACCAGGAGGGAGGACATCTTTTCCATATGGATACCCAAATCCCCCTGCACCAGCACCACCAGCACCACCAAGACCAGCTCCAGCTGGAAGACCATCCTTTCCATAGGGAAAACCAACTCCCCCTGAACCCTCAGCTACACCAGCAGCACCAACACCTGCTCCAAGTGGGAGACCATCCTTTCCATACAGAAGATCCAACACCTCCAAAGCCACCACCTTCAGCTCCACCAGCACCAGCCCCAGCTGGGAGACCATCCTTTCCATAGGGAGATCCAAATGCCCCTGCACCAGCACCTCCAACCCCTGCTCCAGCTGGGAGACCATCCTTCCCATAAGGAGCCCCAAATCCCCCTGCACCAGCACCTCCAACCCCTGCTCCAGCTGGGAGATCATCCTTTCCATAGGAGATCCAAATGCCCCTGCACCAGCACCACCAACCCCTGCACCAGCTGGGAGACCATCCTTTCCATAGGGAGATCCAAATGCCCCTGCACCAGCACCACCAACCCCTGCTCCAGCTGGGAGACCATCCTTTCCATAGGGAGATCCAAATGCCCCTGCACCTGAACCACCAACACCATCAGAACCTGCTCCCACTGGCCGACCATCTGGACCATAGAAAGCCTCCATTTCTCCTATAGAACTGCCACCTGCATGAGGTAGAGCCCCATCTCCACCTGAAAGCCCACCTGGACCATACAGTGAGCCAGACCTTCCCCCCTGACCTAACTGAGCACTGGCATGAGGTGTCAGGCTGTCCTTGTCATAAGGAGCCCCTGTTTGTCCCTCTCTGTTTATCCCTGCTCTGTTCATATCACCCACAGTTGGATCACCATCCTTGCCGTGGTGGGACCCCATTCTGCCTGCCATCTCAGCATCTGCAGCACTCCTCCATGCTCCAGCCCCTGGACCAGTCCTGCTGAACAAATCCCCCACACCATCTCCCACTCTGGCCGAATCAGGACCAAGTCCATCTGGTACAGAACTTCCATCAGTGGCACCAAATCTCCCAACACCCCCAAAGCCAGCTCTGTAGCTGGGGTCACCTAAATTCCCGTCTTTGTCATGCTGAGAGCCCAAACCTTCTCCATCATCCATGTCAATGTTACCAACACCCAGCACACCCTCGCCTCTGCCAGCCACAGAATTCCGTTCCCCTGCTCCTCCTACTCCATCACCAGGACCTTCTCTGCCTGTCACAAAGTCCTTGCCATGCACAGGCCTTAATCCACTTTTGCCTCCTAAGCCTTTTAATCCAAAGATACTGCCATCATTTGTCACTGAGTCTCCATCTAGATCTGCTCCAGAAAACTGTCCAGGCCCCATCCCTCCATTTATGTGGGTTTTGCGGAGCCCCTCTTTTCCCAAAAATATATGGCTTCCATCATCAGTATCCATGGAGTGGCCTTGGCTGCTGCCTTGGCCTCTGTCTTGGCTGCTGCCTTGACCCTTCCTGTACCAGCCAGTTTTTTCCATGCCAGTGTCCATGGGATGACTTTCATCACCAACACGTTCTTGGCGTTCTTGGCGCCGAAGTTTCCTCGCCCTTTCATTGTCTGCCATTGTTTCCTTCAGCCACTCTGATTTCTCTCTTTCAATTTTTTCAATTCCTTCTTCATCCTGTCTCTTCTTCCCTTTGGCATCTGTGTTGAAGTTGCATTGTTTGATTGGAGCAGATAGAATTAAGAGAAAAAGAGAGGGAAACAAATAACATATAGTCAATAGGTCACATACTGCATTAGTGGCCAAAGAAAATGTGTAAGCAATTTTATAAATTAATTTTAGGATACAGACACATAATACATTGGAATAAATTTAAATTCATTTCAAATCCTGATTTTTTTCAGTGTCACATTCAGACAATAAAAAGTTAATTAGAGACAATTATTTTTACTTAAAACACAACTTTTTTTGGTGGAAACACAGTTGTTATAATAAACAAACAAGATAAAACTGACAGAAAAACAAATTTCCAGCATGACAGGTCTGATTTACAGGGGCTTAGATTGTATCTGGAACTCATTAGTTCCTTTTGCCTTCTCTTTCCAGCCCTGGAGGAGTTACAGAATATTCCATGCACAGAAGAGCCATCAGTTCTCACCCTTGAACTGGGATCTCACTGCTATGGAGACACTTTGCACATCTGGCATCCAGCTGTTTTAGGGATGCTGAGGACTAAAGATTCCAGATCTGTGAACAACTTTGTATTAATTCCAGATTCAGGCTGTTGTGAGAGCAGGTCACTCACTGCTTTGATTTCCAGGCTGGATATCACTTAGCAGAGCATTAACAGCTCCATGAAATCCACAGGCAGTTTTGCTTTTTCAGAAACCTGCACTGTTCCAGAGAGGATCCCAAAGGAAACCAAAGTCAAAGCAAACCAGAGCAACCACCTTTCAGAAGCAAAGAAATTTGAGCCAGGTAACTGTTGATGTGCTGTGTTTCCCATCTTCCCAACTTCCTCTGAGCTCCTTCTAAACTGCCAGTTTGGACAGAAAAATAGTATCTAGCAAGATAATACTGAATAGTATTGATAGTATAGAATTCAGAGTATAGAACTGATAGTATAGAAAGCTCCCTGACCCCCTGCCTGCTATACTGTGGTCCAAGTGACAGCTTCCTCAAAAATACATGGTGAGATATGGAGCAGTTTTTGATAACTGAGAACATTGTAGATGTACAGCAATAAGCCAACAGGATTTGCCAGGATTAATTAAAAAGAAAAAAATTGGTCTCATTTGAAGAGGAAAGAGGGTCTAACCAGACCTTCATTTTCCCAAATAGAATTTAGAATCCCAGAATCCCGGAATGGTTTGGATTGGAAGGGACATTAAAGCTCATCCAGTCCCACCCCCTGCCATGGGCAGGGACACCTTCTGCTATTCCAGGTTGCTCCAACCTGGCCTTGGACACATCCAGGGATGGGGCAGCCACAGCTGCTCTGGGCAGTCTGTGCCAGGGCCTCCCACTCTCAAAGGGAAGAATTTCTTTCCAATATTGCATCTAACCTTGCCCTCTGTCACAATGAAGCCAGTCCCCATTGTCCTGTCTCTCCATCCCTTGTCCCTTGTCCCTCTCCAGCTCTCTTGGAGCCCCTTTAGGCCCTGGAAGGGTCTCTAAAGTCACCCCAGAGCCTGAACATCCCCAACTCTATCATCCGTGATTTAGGAACTAGAGGCTCAGCAATTAATTTCTCAGCATGGAAACATCTCCCTGGACAATCAGGCAGTGAGAGGAACATTACTGTGTTAACACCCTCCATCCACACCCCAGGACTCACACTCCACGAGGAGCCAGGCGCTGGAGGAGCCGTGCCCCACGTCCAGCGTGTACATGCCGTTGTCAGAGGGCACCACGTTCTTGACAATGAGCTGGTGGGTGAGGCCATCAGGTGTCACAGAGATCTGGTGCTTTTGGCCGGCCTCCAGGGCATGGGTCTTGTGCAGCCACACGGCGTCGTGGCAGGGCGTGCGCAGGACACAGCGGAACACGGCGTCGCCCTCCTCGGGACAGCGCACATCGCTGAGCGGCTGCTGGAACCTGGCAGGGATGGCTGCAACGGGAAAATCAGAGCTGTGGAAAGGCAACAGCTAGTTCTGTCCTCCCAGAAAAGCTTGTTGCAGCTGAGGGAAGAAAGAACGGACAGTTGTGATGCCCGTGAGCAATGGTTTAATGGGAAAAAGGAAACACCAAGGTGTGATCCTGTGACCAGTTCTGGAGGATGGACCAGCAGAAAAGTAGATGTTTGTGTTATTTTCTTCTGAGATGTTTATCCCATGCATCACTGATGTGCTGACAGTTTGGAGTCATCAATGTATTCCTGCAGCACAACACTCGTATTGAGTTATATCATTATTATTCTGAGCTTACAGAAGGAAACTGTAGCATGGGGAAGTTGAGGAACATGCTCACTGTCATCCACAAGTCAGAGCCAAACTGGTAGTTGAACCTAGACTTAGTCCTTTGGACTACAAATGCAGCACCTAAATCATATAATCACCCTCCTGCTCTTTTTTACCTATGCCATTCAGGGAGCCCTTATTTGGCAACACCAAGCCAGTCCTCTGTAGTTCTCAGGAGTTACTGCTGAGCTTTGCACTTGCTCCCAGATAAAATTTTCCAGCAAAAAAACTCCACTTTTTTTACACATACATAGAACTCAGCTTCTCACCTTCAGCATCCAGTTCAGTAGAGAAAACAGGGACGTCCTCCACCCTGACTTGGTACAAGCCTGCATCCTCTGGCTGCACATCATTGATGATGAAGTGGTACCTTCTCCCAATTCTCCTCAGGCAGTGCTTCCTGTACTCATCCCCCATCCCATAGCGGAGCCGCTGGCCATCCTGGGAAGAGGAGGAGCGTTCTCACAAAGGCAGTGCTCAACTGGTGCCAGGCATTTCACAGAATCAGAATCATAGAATATGCTGGGCTGGAAGGGACCCACAAGGATCATCCTGTCCAACCCTCAGCCCTGCACAGGCCCAGCCCCAAGAGTCACACCCTGTGCCCCAGAGCATCATCCAAACCCTCCTGCATCTCTGGCAGCCTTGGGGCTGTGCCCACTGCCCTGGGGAGCCTGTTCAGTGCCAACCACCCTCTGGGGGAAGAACCTTTCCCTGAGATCCAACCTGAGCCTGCCCTGACACAGCTCCAGCCATTCCCTGGGGGCTGTCCCTGGTCCCCCAGAGCAGAGCTCAGTCCTGCCCCTCCTCTGCCCCTGCCCAGGCAGTTGGAACTGCAGGGAGGTCTCCCCTCAGTCTCCTCTGCTCCAGCTGAACACACCAAGTGCCCTCAGTGTTCTCACACGGCTCCCCTCAAGGCTCTTCTCCATCTTCATGTCCCTCCTTTGGACACTCTCTAATGGTTTCATAACTTCCTTACATTGTTGTGACCAAAACTGCCACAGTATTCCATGTGAGGCCGCCCCAGAGCAGAGCACAAATCAGGGCAAATTGGTGCTACAATCACCTTGTTGATACAAATGAGTAACTACAGAGAAGTCTCCACTCTGTTACTGCTTACAGTGGTCAGGGTTCATTGCTTATGCAACATCTGTGCAGAAAGTCCTGCCCAGGACAGACCACCAGACTCTCAAACTGGGCAAAACAGCAGCTCTTTGCTGGCCCACATAAGGGTTTGAGGCTTAACTAATGCACGGTTACTGTAACTTCAAAGACAAAGTGCTTTCTTTGCTTAGATTTCAGCATCCTCCCAGTTGTAGAAGCAGGAGAGTTCACTTTCTGGAACACAACTGGTTTACATTCTCCACATTGTGGCTCACAGACTTCATGTCATACCTTTGACTCGGAAGTTCATAGTTAGTCTGACCTCTTCAATGAATCCTGATTTCCCCTGTATTAGAGCCACTAACCACAGTTTGACTGAAATTTAACTTCCAGAAACACATCCACAGCACTGAGCACCTGGGGGTCACATCAGAGGAACTACACATCTAAATGGGATATTTTACTTCCTTGAGAGTTTCTTTCACAGAAGTGAGTTATAGTGGAATACCTTGAGAAAGGGAATAAAATTTATATGAAACTGCAGGATTTCTGCAGCCTGAAAGACTCTGTTAGGATAAGGGGTGATGGTTTTAAACTGAAGGAGGGTCAATTTAGATCAGATATAAGAAAGTAGCTTTTTACAGTGAGGATGGTGAGGCCCTGGCACAGGTTGCCCAGAGAAGCTGTGGCTGCTCCATCCCTGGAAGTGCCCAGCGCCAGGTTGGACGGGGTTTGGGACAGTGGGATGGTGGAAGGTGTCCCTGCCTATGGCAGGGGCTGGACTAGTTGGCCTTTTAAAGGTCCCTTCCAACTCAAACTGCTCCATGAATTTCCTCTTACTGGAAGAGCCCTTGACAAGGATGTCAGTAATTGACTGTGTGCCCTGTACTTGGATTTACAAATCCCAGGGGATATTCACCACCAAAGACTACACACACCAACACTCCTCCCTAACCCAGCAAGGACTCTGGAAAGGACAGACAATTTCATTTGCTCTCAGCCACTGCTCAGCAGATGAAGCATTTTCTGTAGAAGACTCCAGTGGCTGCTCTGAGTCAACTGCCCAAACTGCCCTGAGCTGCTGCCCAGCTCCTCTCCCCCCTCACCTTGAGCAGATACACGTTGCTGTTTTTATTTTTCAGCTCCATCTCCAGGCTGAATGTAGCGTTTCCCTCCTTGTTGACTCTGATGTGTTCAAAGTTTTTGATATTGTGAATTAACTGCAAAGAAAAATCAAAGAACCTTGTAAATTATAAAGCTGCCATGACTGAAGTTCTTAAGCTGTTGAAATAATGTGAAATCTACTTTTTATCTGCAGATAGAGCTACCTCTAATGTTATGTGTGCAGAAGATGTTTTTGTGAGCTTCCATGGTTTCCTCCTGTATACAAATTATATTGTACGTGCTGCCTCTTGGTCATTCACACAGTGTCCATGCAGGTTTCCACGTGCCCCTGTATGTCAAGGCCAATTTTGACTCTTGAGCATAGAACTTTTCAATTTGGGGTCCAAATTCTCATCAGAGGCAACTGAACCCCCCCTATGGTCAGTATCTCCTAAAATCTATGAACTGAATTTCAAAAAAGTCATCAGCATTTTCATCTGCAGGAGTACAGTGATAATTCTTTAAACATTGTCATAAATCACTCTCTCTCTGATAAGATTTTCATTTTAGGAGGATTTAGCCTGTTGTCAGAAGCTACTGAGGGCTCTGCAGTTTGTTAAAAATCAGTGATTTCAGTTTATTTTACCTCATCTTGTTCATTCTCTGTGTCCTTCCTCAGCTCCTGCAGCTTCCTCAGCATCCCACGGAAGTCAGCAATTCCATATTTAATACAGATTTTCTCATAGTCTCTCTTGTCTGCATGGAGCAACAGCTGCCACACGGCTTCTTTGTCCAGGGGTTTTGGTTTTGGTGCTACAACCCTTGGAACCAGGGAGGGAAAAAAAATCTAGATATTTTGACAGATAACAATACATCTTGTTTTTTCTATACTTGATTCTCTTTCATGTCTCTCCATCATTTCTGTAGTTCACTTGGCCCTGGAGGCGTAGGAAGAAAAGAATGGAGCTTCTCCAGAAGAGGTTTTCTGCATCTATACCGTAAATTAAATGATGACAGGGAACAACTGTCAACACTGTTACATTATCAGCAGAGTCACTGGCAGAGTTTGGAACAAAGACTGCACTGGCCAGAGATCATTCCCATCAGGCAATCTTTGGAGGTTCCCAGCTGGGAAGGGAAGAGATTGAGCCATGTACACCTGGCCAGGGAGCCAGGGCTCACCCTGATCATCCAGAACCACCAGGACATGAAGATTTGTCACTTGGCCAGGAAATAACTCGTGAGCTAAACACGGGAAAGCAGAGAAACATATCTTTTCAGTCAAAATCTGCAGAGGGACATTCCTCTCCAAATGAGGTTGGTGCCTGGTGTTTATCTCAGCCTCACAGGCAGTGCCAGCTTGTCCTGGGGTGTCTCTCCGTAGGGAGTCTCACCACAACTTTGGAAACAAGAAGTGTTGCCTTGCAGGTCTATGAAGTTGTCTCCTGTCATCAACAAACTTCCAGAAGTGTGACAATGGTCCTCACTATGGAGACTTACCTCTTCCTCAGCATCTTCTTAGAGTCCTGGAGTGTCTTCTTCAGCTCTGTTAGAGGGTGGGGGGAAACAACAAACATTCAGATACCCAGCACTGTAAAATACATCCCCAAAGAGAAGATAATGCAAAACAACCTCTGACAACAGCCCTTTCTGCTGTGCTCTGGTGATTTTTTTCACACTTTACAAACTGTCATGAAACTTGTAGTCAGTTCTCACTGCCAGACTCATCCTTTGAGTGCTAATAAAGTTCAGTGCTCCCTAAGGGGCTGTCCTCCAGTAACCCACTATTTTCCATATTAACATTTTTGATCCAGCTATGTTTGACATCCCGAAATCCTTCTCTAGCACTAATTAGAACAGCTCAAAGCCATGTTTAACATCATCACTTTACCTAAAGGTAAAGAGCAAGCAGAGATGACAGAACATCAGAGATTTATTAATCTTTTTCTTACTTTAGTCTTTACAGATTTGGGATAGTAATAATGTGGCAGAGTATTATTAATTATGCCTCCTCAATATAATATAATATAATATAATATAATATAATATAATATAATATAATATAATATAATATAATATAATATAATATAATATAATGATGTGATATTATAAAATATGATATATATCTTTCTCTTACCATCAGCAGCATGAACAGGAACATATTTTGCTTTCCTCTTAAAGCCAACTGACAGTTTATGAGAGAAAACAGAAGGAAAACAAGTCATGAGATGACCAAACAGCAGTAAACCAATGAATCATGAAACTTCAGTATCTGTTCCCAATGTAAGGGGAAACCCCAGTTTGGATTTTTGTCTATCTGACATTGATTCCCAGGAATCTCTATCTATAAATGTGATATTCCTATTGCAATTGACTCTGTGCTTACCGGATGCTCCACACAGAGGAAGAGAACACTTCTGCCCCATGAACTTTATGGTTTAAGCAAGGAGAGAAACATTAACATCTTGTTTTGGAGATGGGGAGCCACGGTGGAAGTGGCCAACTGCAGAGAGGTGCCTTCTAAACTTACTTTACAGGACACTTCCAACATAGTCCATCTTCTGCTCAAAGAGATTCCAAGAATATCAGTTATATTTGACCCACAAAATGCCCATTTCTCTCCACTGACTACAAAGGGAAGCAGGGGACTGATTTGTTCAGCAACATAAGGAAAGGATTGAGCCCAGTCAAATCCAGAGCAGCAAGTTTTCCTCCAGTGCAGTGACCACAATTCCACTTTCTTCTCCCTTGCCTTAAAGCTCCCAGTGCCACGGAGCCACCAAAGTCCTCCAGTCCTCAGTGAGGGGAATAACAGACCTTCCCAGGGAGGATACTCAGACAAAGCCTGGGGCACCCACCCCAGAGGAGCAAAGGCACTGTTTGGGACCACGGGGCCTCTGGAGCCCACCCTGTCAGCCCTACCTTGGATGATCCTGAGGCCAACAGAGCAGGAAGCTTCTCCATATTCATTGACAGCACAGCACCGGTACAAATCACTGTCATCCATGACCAGCTTTTTGATCTTCAAAAGGAGAACACAGGAATTGCTCACTGCCAGCACTGGGCTGGGGCTCAGTTCACGCCTTCAGCTTCTAACAAAGCAGCTACTCAAAGGCACCTCAGAGCTCTCTTCTGTTCCCAGAAGGGCTCTTAAAAGCTTTGTTTGCTTATATTTGTGTTATCTCAGATATGGGAAGATGTAGAATCACAGGATATGCTGAGTTGGAAGGGAGCCACAAGGATCATCCTGTCCAACCCTCAGCCCTGCACAGGCCCAGCCCTGCACAGACCCTGTGCCCCAGAGCATCATCCAAACCCTCCTGCAGCTCTGGCAGCCTTGGGGTGTGCCCACTGCCCTGGGGAGCCTGTTCAGTGCCAACCACCCTCTGGGGGAAGAACCTTTCCCTGAGATCCACCCTGAGCCTGCCCTGACACAGCTCCAGCCATTCCCTGGGGGCTGTCCCTGGTCCCCCCAGAGCAGAGCTCAGTCCTGCCCCTCCTCTGCCCCTCAGTCCACTGCAGGTTTTTCCTCCCCATTTCTCTCTCCGTGCCACAAGTCTTTTCTGTAATATTTGATCTTTACCTGCAGAATGAATTCATTTGTAGCACTATTGAAGGACATTTCGTATTTGGCAGGATCGTCCATCCCTTTTCGTGTGCGTGACCATTTCACCTCTGGGGTTGGGACACCTTTGACCACACCTCTGAAAATGGCATTTTTACCTTTGAAAAGAGGCAAGAAATTAGCTAAGATGGTCTTGAACATGAACAATCTTGAACTCTCATGCCAGGCCCCTAATGTTATCAATAGATTGATCTCCAGAGTGAGCCATCATCTGTTGTTTTGGGGCAGAAACATTCTTCAAAAATAATGATGGTTTTTATTTTGCACATCAGTAATTCAGGGTTTGTCTGTATTGAATCATAAAAGGCCTTTAAAATGTGGTGTTACCCTGTCAGATGTGGCTGCTGACATCTGTGATCATCTCTGCAGCCCTACAGCAAGTTCAGCTTGACCTGCCTTTGGCAGCTTGTACCACTGCCTGACAGCCTAAATCTATTCTCATCAAACATATATTCCCTATAAAATCCCATTGCTTCTCCGTTCTTTCAGACTACAGTGCCTTGTCTGCTGACCTGACACCACCTTGCACCCTGAACACAGCAGGCTCTGCTATTTGAAGAGGCAAGGAAGGGAGGAGAGGATGGGCTTCAGCTCCTTCATCCCTGCTCCCCTAAAACCTGGGTTTTCTGAGTACACAGAAATCTCCAACAGCTTCCCCACTGCCTACTACAAACATCTGCTTCCAAAAGGCTTCAAAAACATAGGAAACACTGGGGAACAACAAGTCAGAGAAGTGACTCATGTCATTAAGTGGAATAGAAATGGAGGTGAGTTATCCATGGACAGAGCTCAGGATGGAAATGATTATTGTCCTCCTTTTGCAATGGTTTTGGTCTTCAGGTGTCCAGCACTGTTAAAAGTCGTCCCCAGAAAGCCTTGCAGTATTTCCCATACCCTTCTTCAGTCACCACCAGCAACTTCTTCTATGGACTGAGGGATTCTTATCAAAAGGCATTTTCCAGCCTTTGAGATCAGAGTACTATTGTTAAAGTTTGATTCCAATTTATTGTCCCTATGTCATATTTTAGCCAATTTTGGCTGCACTTTTGCTTGTCATCTGTCACAGGCCACAGCTCCACAGCTGAAGGAGTCAGCTCCCCCATGCACTGAACACAATGAGGTGGTGATGATGTAAATGAAGATACTCATGGTGACTCTGCACAGAATTCAGTTTACAGTGACCAACCTGAACGCCCAAACATTTTGTACAGGAACTATGAGACACCTGCTGCAAATTAAATAACTTGGAAAATTCAGACAGGTGAAAATTCAGGCAGGTGAAAATTTAGTCAGGGGCCTTGGTTCATTCCTGAAACTCCAAGGTGGAGGAGGAGGAGAGGGGAAGTTCCACTAGAGGCCACTGTGTTCCTTCATAAAATATCAATGGCTTGTGAAAATCAACAGATGAGTGAGAAACACTGAATCCACAGTCCAGTATTGGGAGGGAAGAGGAACTACGTGATCTCCTCAGGCCATTCCACTCCAAATATATATATATATATATAGAGAGAGAGAGAGAGAGAGAGAGAGAGAGAGATCTGTCTCTGCAAGTGCAGAGAGACCACTGGGAGGCCTTTCATTGATGTTCAGTCTTGACTCATCAGCTGTTTTCCCTGTGCAAGATCCCTGTTGCTCCTTAAACAACACATGGAATCATCATAGAACCACAGAATGGTTGGGGACCTCAAAGCTCATCCCATTCACCCCTGCCATGGGCAGGGACACCTTCTACTATCCCAGGTTGCTCCAAGCCCCATCCAACCTGGCCTTGGACACTTCCAGGGATGGGGCAGCCACAGCTTCTCTGGGCAACCTGTGCCAGGGCCTGCCCACCCTCCCGGGAAAGAATTCCTCCCCAGTATCCCATCTAACCCTGCCCTCTGGCAGTGGGAAGCCATTCCCTTGTCCTGTCACTCCAAACCTTATCCAGCCCTCCTGGAGCCCCTTTAAGCATGGGAAAGCTGCTGTAGCCTAAATAGCACCGGCAGTCAGAATATCTTACTTCAAAAAGCAGTTAATTTTAGTGCTGAACACTCATAATACAAGTTAGTTCAACAGGGAAAAAAAAAAAAAAAAAAAAAACCACACCACAAATTTTTCAATGGGCTTCATCTTTTGCTGCAAAATACTTACTTTGAGAGCTTTGTGCAGAATTCACAGAATTTGTTGCCCACTTTAGGGGCCAGATTTTGGTCTTGCACATGCAAGGAGTCCTCTGTTAGTACTGATGGAATTTTCACCAGGGTAACAAAGACTTTGGCGAAACAACACTTTTTTTCTGGTCATGTCAAATCACTTTAGAAACTAGTTTGATTTGTGTTCATTGTTCCATGTAGGTGAGAGGTGGAGTCAAGCCTCCAGGTCGGTGGCTTTGCCTGTCTTTCAAGAATCTCACCTTCTTGAAGTGTCAGAGTGAGAGGTTTCCTCTCAAAGTCAGGTGTACTGCATCCTTTTGGAACATCATTCACAAACTGGGTGATAAGAACCCCTGGGATGGCAGATTTCTTGAAAGTTTTTGCTGGAAAGGCAAGAAAAAATACATTTAATTAATATTTGTTCTTCAGAAACAATTTCTCAGCCTGCAGAGAAGCAACTTCTCCTGTTCAGCCCCTCTTGGACTACAAAGGTCCCATCCATTCCAGTACAACAGGCTGGAAGGTGTGTCCCAAGGCTGGTGCATTAAGGTCTTGGCTTTGGAAAACTAGTGTCCAAGTGGGAAAATCTGCATTGAAGATCCTAATCCAGAGTCACCTCGGCTCACAGTTCTGGGGATAGTTTGGACAGGGGAAAGCTTTGCATCAGTCATTGTTCCAGATAACACTCCAAATCTGGCAGGACAAAGACCCTCTTGCCAAGGTCAGCAGCATCTGCTGGGTCACTTCCTGGTGTCCCTCCTTGAGGGGGTGAGACAGACACCCCCAAACCAGACAAGCAAGCTGGGATTATTCCCAGGGGAACCGCAGGGAGTTTCCAGAGCTGTGTCTGTTCTCTTACCTGTCTGGTGGCTGGTCATGATGCCCTGCTCAGCTTTCCGTGATCACCACAAACAGATTGGGGGTTCTCCTGGGAAAAGGACAAATCATTTCATTATTTACAGTTCACAAGGGAAGTGACAGCCCTTAACACTGCTCACTTTAGTGGCACAATTTGCCCTTCCTCACTCGCAGCCAAGTTGAGACAGACCCGCCAATCAACGTGTCTTCTCAGAACACATCACAGCACAGTGTTGAACCGACACAAACTGGGTAGGAGAATGACTAGAAGGGCTGAATGGGAAATATACACATCCAACAGCATCCCTCTGTCACCCCTTCCCTGTCCATGACACCTGGCTTTCCTCCAAACACCTCCTCTCGTGTTTCAGGCAAATATTACATCACATGGCACTCACATGGTGAGTTCTGATGGATGGCAAGAGCAGTTGCTGAGAAGAAAGCCACAGAAAGGGATGTCTAAACTGGGACATGAAGCAGAAGCACATCCTGATCTAAATTAGCTTGTTTAAATTAGCAACAGACCTGAGAGCAGACCAGAAGACTTTAGAAGGAAATGGTGAAGTGTGAGCTGGGCATTCAGTAGTTATTGTTATGGATCACTTGTGTGACCTTCTGCAAAAGGTGTCTCTTTCCTTGTATTTTAAACTGGACAATGTGTAATGTAACACATCCCTGTCCTGAAGGCAAACTGGGAAGGCAGATTCCTTGTCACATGAGAGATGTTCAGAAACTATAGAGTTACTGCAGCTCTGCAAGAGCAGTCAGATTAGATTCCCCTGTGGGATTGGTGCTGCTCTTTGTTACCCTCTGCACTCCCTCAGTCAAGAGAGGCACATAAGAACATGCAACTTCCATCAGTTTTAAAAGGCATGGGAACTTTGGGAGTACACCTACATCAGACATTCAGCCAGCTGAGAAGTGTCACTGGCACATGGTGAAAACACAGGGTTCAACCCCAGCACCTCGGCTCCGAGCTGCATTACCTGTGTGAAACTTGCTTTCAGCTAAAGGTAAAATCAGCTAAACTACTAAAAATAATGTGTGCTGTGTTCCTCATAGACAGGCCAAAGAAAGTGTCACTCACAGTATCACTCTGGGTCAAATTCTGAACCAAAATTTGATTTGCCATTACACAGCAGTTGCAAAGAGCCATAGGCACCTTCGCACAACAACTCACTGGCTCCACTGTTGCCTTAAAATAAACTCTTATTTTGGGGCTCTGCACACTACACAGATCTCATCAGTAATTAATATCACTCTTGAGACTCACTGACCTCAGTGGAAATGCACTGAGACAACAGACATGGGAGATGATCACGGGGCTGTGTGAGCACCATCCAGACCCTGTCCCCCCCTCTCCCTGTCCCCTCCCTGGCCTGTTGTGGGTGACTCCTGCTCTCCCCACCACAACAAGAGCTCCACATCTCACTTGTGTGCTTCTGTTTTGGCAGTTCCTTCTGTAAACCCTTGTAAACAGGGTTTTACAGTTACTTCTGTAAATCTTTGGGAGATGTTTTAGAACTCACAAATGAAGGGAATGAACAGCTTGTGTCAGGGAAAGACACAAAACTCAGATGAAAAGAAACTGATTCCAGGGCACCCTGCCCTGCCCTGGGCAGAGCTTTGCACAGTGAATGGCTGAGATTTCGAGAGGCTCTTGGTCACCCTCTTCTGATGGATTTAATTTGTCCTCCCAGCAAACATTATAATCCCCTATTGCCTCTTGTATCTCCCTTGTCACCTAAACATGTCACCACTCCTGGAGTTGGAATGCCTGATGCTTCCAACGTTCACCAAACAGGATTACCTGACACCAGCCTGCAGCAGCTTTCACTAAGCTCTAGTTATGTTGCACTTACATTTATTCTTTGCTACTCCCAACTTCTTCCCCTCCCCACTAGGCAATGGTGAAAAGCATCCACAATGAAACATGAACATGGTCCAAATTCTCAGCTCCAAAGCCACCAAGAAACTTATTGTTATCTTAAATTACCAAATGTTTCAAACCAGACCGTTGTTCTCAGCCCTGTGGGACTGTGGATATATGTTAACATAGTTCAAACCAATTGACAAATGGCTACATTCAAATCTGGTTTTGTAAAAAGCCCAAATATTAATATTTGGCACACGTCTGCATCTCTCAGTGCACAACATGCACTATGTGCACTATGTATAAACTGCTGCGTTTATAGGGTCTTAAATATTTCAGAAATTCACTTGGATTAAAGATAAGCTGCTGTGAGTCCTTAAACTGCTGTGAATTCCTGACTTCTGGAGAATGAGAATGAAGCATGTTAATGCCACACATTGATTGCACAGTTAAAATAACAGTGCCAGGACATGCAAGGGAACATTCCTTCAGTGTAATTAATCCAACCACATCACATTTTCTGGTGTCTTGTGTGTGAAATAAGGACCGGAAAATAACACATTGGTTGGCACAGACTCATCAAACCCTGCCCTTCTTGCTTTTAAAATTTCTACTCCCTTGTTACATGAATGCCCATGTTTGTGCTTTGACTTCAGTTCAAAATAGAAAAAGAAATCACAGGATTTTTAGAATGAGACAGCAAAAATGGTCATAGTGTAATTCATGTCTTCACTCAGAGATGCTTGAAACTTTGGTGTCCACATTAGGATGATTTATTCAGCGGAGACAGGTAAATGCTTCCCAGGGGGAATCACCCCTTTCCAGGTGAGTGCTGTTCACCAACACCCAGCACAACAGGGAGACATTGGAAGTAGCTCAACACTCTCACTCCTCTGGAAAACACATCACTGTTGTGCATTAGCCATGTTCAGGTACCCAAGACTTGGCCATTCCTCATCCCAGGCAGAATTCTGTCTGCTCTGCAGCTGCACAGACTTCTCCCTGGAGATGTGGCAAAGCTTCCATGGCTTTGGATGCAAAGCCAGAGCAAGCCCTTGGCTACTGACAATATTTAATGTACCAGAATAACCCAGCTTGCCTGGGTTATAACAACTCCTCCTTGGGTGGGAGGGCTGCCCTTCATCCTGTCTGTCCATCAGTCTGTCTGGATGAGCCAGAGCAAGAGCCCTTTCCCTGTGAGCCTGACTGGACACCAGTGCTGGGGCCATAAATCAGCGGAGTGAATAAGCAAAACGTTTGGGAGTCACAGGATTTGTACTAGTGGTGTCACAAGGAGTTATTTATGGGGTTCAGACAGTGGAATACACAGACAAGATGTGACATAATTGCTGGCAGGGACTGGTGAGCAAAATTAGACAAACCTGCAGGGAAATACTGAGCAATGAGAGGTTCACAGGGAGGTGGTGGGTCCAGAGGCACAGGATGTGCCACAGGCACTGCACAAGCACAGCACGTGTGGGGGACAAAGCCACTAACACAGGCCTAAATCAGCATTAATAACAAAGGAATCAGCAACAGATGCAGCATTCTATTGCATAGGATCATAGAATCATAAAATCAGAGAATCTCCTGAGCTGGAAGAGACCCTGAGGATCATCCAGTCCAATCCCTGGCCCTGCACAGGACAGCCCAACAATCCCACCCTGTCCAAACACTCCTTGAGCTCTGGCAGCCTTGGTGCTGTGCCCACTACCCTAGGGAGCCTGCTCAGTGCCAACCACCCTTGAGGGAACAACCTTTTCCTGAGATCCAGCCCAAACCTCCTCTGACCTCCTTTTCTCTTTGTATCTGTCTTTGAGTTTCTCTTTGAAATTCATAAAAATCAAGGCAGTCCTGACACAGCAAATGTTCTAAACAAAACACCAACCTGTTGTGTGCTCAGTCCCAAATTCCAACTGTGCTTTACCCTAGAGACCCAGATACTCACTGAGAAGAAGGATCTCTCACCTACATTTTCTCTTTTAGCTTTGGGTGGGCTTTCTGTGTTTATTTGTTAACTTGAAGCAATATTTTGAGCTTGAGTCTTCCCATTGCACATTTCTAAAGGACAATCCCCAAGCCCCTGGTTAGAACCACAGAACTGAAGAGCAGCAACAGCAGAAGTGAAAATTCATGAAAAGTTCTGAGCAGGTCACAGAGGGGGAACGTCACAAGCTCTCCAGTGATGAATGGAGGTGTTGTGCAGAGTGAGGAGGAATGCCCAGGGATCAGATTTTGTGTGACTTATCCCTTCAGTAAATCTATACTCACCCTGATCTTCTCCTCTGCCTCGGGGATTACAAATACAACGTAAGTGATTGCTCCTTCTGCCCATGAGCCATGTACACAAACACCAGATACTCTGCCCCCATTTATTTAGCAAAGTGGCAATGATACCAAAGGCCAAAAGGCAACACACACCATGTGTATTTTCTAAGGGGGTGAAAGCCAGCGGTGAGCAGGACGATGAATTCGTGCCCATTTGGTGAAGCAGGTCAGTCTGTTCCTTCCCATGTCCACAACACACCCAGTAATTCTTTTGTAACGCAGACATGTACTTTCACACACTCACTAGATTAAAAATGAGTATCACAGAGCTTATACAACAGAGTTTTACTGTCAGGAAGGAAAAATAACACCTCCCTACTTACTGTCCAAAGAAATGATGAATCCAAGATAAAAACCTTTAGGAACCTCAGTGTACCTGTGCCACAAGTTCAGTGTCAGCTCCATGGGACAGGTACAGGAGATCTTCAACAGCCTGCCATCTTCCTTGGGAAATCAGTGGATGCTACAGGAGCCCAGTGATACAAGAGCCCAACACTACAGGACCCCAATGCTACAGGAACCCCCTCCTGCCACAACATTCACGACCATTTTCAGACCTCCTGCGATGCAAAGCAATGTCCGCTGTGACAGTGAAGGTGGCACTTCGTGCTCCCAGCTCTGCATCAGCCCCACACGAATCTCAGTGGTGACACGACCATCTTGTTACCTTACAGGTTCTGAGATGATCCTGCTCAAAGTCGCTGCTGCGTCTCCTGGGACCGTGGTGGCTTTGTCTGGTGACTCAGAGTGCAGAGCTCTTCATAGCTGCCCCACAGGTCCCTTGGTCACAGATATTTAGTGATCTGTAGGAAAGAAGACACGTTCCTTATCAGCCTGTTGCAAATGTCACTAAATGGTAACAGACACAAATTCTTGTCCCTCTCCACTTCCCCAGAAGCTCAGACTGCACTCAGGAGCCGCTGATATCTCCAGGATGTCTCCACGCTGTGCTGTGAGCGCTTGTAGGGGGTTCGTTATAGCCCCACAGTCCCCCAGCCCCAGGGGTGGTGCCGTGGAGCCTCTGGCACGGCACGGAGGCGGCACTGGGCCAACCTGGCCAGATGCGACCATCAGTCAAGGCAATGCTGCAGCTCCAAATGCAAGACCTTGTGCCTCAAAAAAGGACACACATTTGTGCAGATCCAAGGGAAGGACAAACTGTACACACAGTTCTGTTGGACACACCACCAGAGGGGTTCTCAGAGGCCATGAGTTCTTAGGAGATCTCATAATCCCTTGGCAGAGATTATATAAACCAGTGGATTATTGCATTTGTGTTTGGGCCAGCCATGCCTGGGCTTGGCTTTCATCACTAGAGTCTCTCAGTTTGTGCTATTCCAAGAGGTCTGAAAGAAATCCAGTTCCTCCTGAAGGATCTTCACTGCTGCAGCCGAAAGACACCTCAATATTGGCTCATTTTGGCTTCCAACACAGCTGATCCCTTTCCCGAGAGCAGCCACTTATTCCACTAGGGCAGGGGGGCTGGAGCTAGATGATCTTTAAGGTCCCTTCCAACTCAAACCATCCTGTGATTTCCATGGACAGGTTTACCCTAGAAGTGCAAGTGCAGCACATTGTGCCCCCAAATCTTTTGCTACCAGTCTGCCTTTGCAACTTGTAAACCTTCCTTCTTCTTCCCAGGAAACTCCCCTAGAAGCAAAGGGACCTCTGTTTAGTTCCTGATGATAAAGTGATGGCCAGTCTGGGACTGAAGGCTCTCTTCTCCCAGCAGCACCACATGCTGGAAGCAAAACCTGCTCAGTCTGAAGTCCACTTTCGTTCACTTCTGGCTGAGAGCAGACAACCATTGTTTTTAATTTGGATTGTGTGAATATATTCACATTAAATCCTCATGTTCAACTCAGGGAGGAAGGGCTGGCTCCAGAGTAGTATTTTTACCATGATGGCCATGATTCACATAATGTCTGGGCTGGCAGAACCAGAACAAGGTTTTCCTCTGGTTTTCTACTAGGAGGTGATAATTCTAAAATCTCAGGTTAGTGAGGAAAGGAACATAGAGAAAAACCTCAAAGAATAACCTCAAAGAGCACCATTTTCACTGGTCTTAGAAAAAGTATTCTTAACCAGGTATCAAAAACTTCTCCCTTGCAGGACTGGGAATTATAATTTCAATCAACAATTTAAAAGATAAATGTGAAAATTAAATTCTGGGGACATTTTCTTCATTCCTTTTTGACTGTTATTGCTGGTGACAGTGTTTCTACCTTCCCAGTTCATAGGAAAACCATGTCAATCTTAGCCTGGGCTAAGATCCTTCAGTCCTACATCCCCTGGGACATTTGCAGTGATATAAAAGTAAAATCAATTCCAAACAATTTGAAAGTTGATGAGCCAAGAAAATCAGATAACAAGGATTTGGAAAATCTGGACTGCTGCTGGAAAATCCTCTCAGTAGCAGACACTGTTTTCCAGCAGTGTCCTAGTGGAATTCCCACAACACCCTCCCCCACCTGCTTTGGCCGATGACCATCCCAAAGGGGCCTCCTCAGACTTTGGTCTTACTGGTCTAGGACAGCAGTTTGTTAGTTTATTGACTGTTTGCTGTAGCCTTAAAATTAATAAAACCAGTTGCTTGACAAGTCCCTAAAGACAAGTGACACTTTGTGAAGGCCATGGGAATGCTCCGAGAGGAAACATTTCTTGGCTTCCACTGCAACCTGAATTCAGCTCTCATCAACTGCAGCAAGAGCAGAGTTATCCCAAAGGGCCTGAGCCACCCAGAGCCACAGGGATTCCTGCTGTTCCTCTTCTCCCTTTCCAGTCATTTGTTCCCCACAGAAAAGTGCCAACGGTTTTTAGTCTCCAATGGCATTTAGGTGTTGGGTTCTGAATAACTGAGGAATTCCTAATTAGACAGACAGTTGGGTCTAGCAAGTACCAGGAGAGCCACCACTCTGCCTGTTCCACTGAAGCCACAAGCCTGATCAGACTTTGCCTTATTTCCAGCCCTGGTTTTACAGTTTTCTTGGAAGGGAGGAATGGAGACCTCTCCACAGACGGGCGGATAACTTAAAACCATCTGCGACAGAGCAAACTCCTCCAGGAGCCTGACCTTCTTCCATTTCACAGCTTGCTTTCCACCCGCCCACCCAAAGCGCTGTTAACCCCTGTGTTCCAGTGGATGAGCCACTGGGAACAATCCCTGTGTGCCAGTGGAGAAGCCACTGGGAACCTGCAGAACATCACAGCAAGGCCTGGCACGTTCAGTGGCGGCTGCTGCTTTCACTGCAGAGGGGACACATTTTTCCCTGGAAGAAAGTCTGTTCCCCTAAGGAAAGGCAGTGAGGAAGTGGCAAGAGGCAACTGCTGCAGGACACTTATTTCAGGACTGAATATAGGAGTCTGATTTAACTGGAAACAAGAGTTTTCCAATCTTCTGGTTTCCCTTCCTTGGTATAGCAGTATGAAGTCCTCCTGCTCCGACTGGCACAGACTGTTGGCACCCACCACGTGGCTCAGACAGACCAAGAACTGAAGAAACCAAGATCTGGTAGGTTCAAAAAACTGGCTGAATTTCCCAGTTCATAAACCAATGACCAAGTTCAAAACCCAGTCTTCTATGTGAGTCACTTGGCCAAGCCACACCACTTCCCTGCAGCATGGGTGTTCAGGCAGACACTGCACTGAGGGCCATGGTGATGGCAGGGAGGTTTTGGAGCAGAAATATTGAGGGATGTAATAGGAGAAGATGTGCAAAGCTCGGTGTTCACATTTCAAGTCTACCTTGACATAACAGCAATGAGCATCCCATAAACACCAGGCAAGAAAACCCAAACATTTGTAATCATTTAAGGGCATGGAAAATGGAATAAAGGTCCAAATTCAGGAAAGATTACCAAGTGTCTGCAGCTCTACAAGCACCCAACATCCTACATTGAGTCAGGTGAGTCTGGCAGTGCTGATCACACCAGTCTTGTGCAAGTAAAGGGACATGGTTTGTCCAGGTCAGGCCATGGGCCAGGTGGGTGACACAACAGTGTTTTGGTTTTACCAGGAGGATGCCTTGCATCAGGAATAGTCCCACAATGCATGTGGGTGCCACAGTGAGTCTTCTGGACTCACAATATTTGAATTTTAATGAACGTGAGGTACCAAGTCTTGAGAAGATGCTGCTCCCTCCAGAGGGAGATATCCAAGCTGAGCCCAGTCCCTCAACAGCACATCACCCACATTGTACCCTCCAGAAGAAATGTAAGGGACCTGTTGAGTCTCCAAGCCTTGGTTATTCCCCCACACTCCCACCCAAGATACCAGTGTGCCCTTTGTCAATAGTGAGCTGAGGTCTGTCATCCCTGTCCACACAGAGCCAGGATTGGACCCACTGCAGGTCATGCTAAGATGCAACTCAGCAGCAGGAGATTAGAATTGAGGTAAGGAATTCAAGAGGTAGCAGTGTTCTGCTTTCACACTGTGGATCAGCTCCCTCCTTCCCAGAGTACACAGAATTCCTTCTCTTCCCTTGTGCAGGACCAGTTAAAGGTTTGCACCCATGACTGACTGGAGGGGTTTGGCAGCATGATCCAGGATTTGGATGGAGCCTGGCTGCCTATAAACCTGACATTCCCACTTTCCCTGGGGATGGCTGCTCCCAGGACTATCCTTCTTGCATGTTCCAACACCTGGGCTGGCCAGTGCTGGAATTTACTTACCCTTTTCCATATGGAAAAAACAAGATATCAGGCAACACATGTTTAATATAAACCCACCAAAGATGTGATTAAACATCAACCTATGACCAGATATATCCCCATCTCAGGACTTTCCATCTTGAGACACTGAAGAAAACCACACTTTAACCCACTCAGAGAGCAAGATATGCCTGTACCCCTTCCATTTGACCCTACATGGCCACTGGACTTTGCCAAATTCCCTTCTCCAGCTAAAATTTACTGTGCATGTTGGAACCACTTTGTATGTGCCACCCCTTGGGCAGGCAGAGGGTTAATAAAGCTCAGTGCCTGCAGTAAATAAAGAAATAATAGAACCTATGCTATTCAGATGCCAACAGGGATTGAAGTTATGAGGCTTTTCCTCAGTTCCCCTCCATGTTTCAAACTAGACACACAAGCCCCTCAGTTCTGGTTTGTTTATTTATTTGCTGCCCCAACCTGCCAGTGGCGACGGATGAAAAAAGCCCCGTCCTCGCCTGACGAGCTATTTTAACATTTCATTCCCTATGTGGAGAAGTTTGACACTGAAATACATGGTAAGAAATTCTCCCTGAAGCCCCAAGAGGCCCCAGCATGTGTCACCTTCCCACTTTCCGTGTGGGACGCCGGAATTAATTCCAACACTGTTCTGGTAGTGCCCTGTCTGACCTGTGCCTGCACAAGTTAATGTATCAGAGGACTCCCATTTTTGGCAGTGTTGTCCCATTCCTTCTGAAGGTTGCTCGCTGTCAAACTCTCTCTTTATCCAGCACTAAAATATCAGAATTAAATAGGTGTTATCTAGAGCCAGAAAATTATGCTGGCACCCAACAGAGAAATAACCAAAATCACAGAATTATGGAATCCTGGAATGGTTTGGGTTGGAAAGGACCTTAAAGCTCATTTCGTCCCACCTCCTACCATGGGCAGAGACATTTTCCACTGGACCAGGCTGCTCAAACCCCATTCAGAAAATGGAAATATAGAAAAAAAATTAAATATAGGAAAAAAAGGAAATTAAGGAAAAAATTGAAAGAGAAGGCATCTCTCTCCTTT